AAATTCTAGGTTCCCAAACTGTGTGATGATATGTTTCTGTTTGTTAAATCCATCCACTTGTGCTATCTTTGTTATAGCAGCACTATATAACTAAGTCAGTGTTTGGTACCAGATGAGTAGGCCCTGCTCTAACAAATAGCTGAAAAGTGGGAGCAGTTTTGGAATTGAGTCATGGCTAGAGGCTGGAAGATTTGATGGTACCAAATAAGATAAGAGTCTCGATTCCCTTGAGGAGAATGTTGGTGGCATTATGGATATCAAAGGTCATTCTGATGAGGGTTCAGAAGTGTTAGGCTGCGGACTGAAGAAAGAAATCAGAGAAGAAGAGAGAAAGCTCTAAAACAGCTTTATTTGGGGGACTCCTGGGTGAGCTTCCTCATTCTGAAGATGCAGAAGGAGGAAGTCGCACTTTGAACCTATCGGGGAGGGTTTATATAACAGGGTTTTTAAGGAGACATCCCATTGTGATTTATGGTTCATCCGTTAGTTCTGCCAGGTGGGCAAAGCCATTCACTCTTCTTATCAACGTGTGTATTCTTTGAATTTTTCATTCTCCTCCTTGGACCCCTGTCCAGACCTAACAAGAAGGAAATGAGAACTGTAACCTCAGTAGACAATGAGAAGCAGGGGCAGAGAAACAGAGGTTACAGAACCAGGAGACTGCACAGCCAGGAAACCAGCATGAGATGCCTGGAAGCCAATCCACAGAGTGAAAGAGCTGAAAACTTTCAGGCAAGAGCCTTCCTGAGCAGCGGCCTCTGGGCACTTGCCAGTAGAGCTAAGCTTGCTGGCCCACAGAGTGAGATACCTGAGTACCTTCAGGCCGCAACTTACTGGAGGAGTCAGGTACCTTCAGGCACTTCTCAGAAGAGCTTTGGAACACTTGCCTGAGGAGAGCAGAGGATGTGTCTGCCCAAGAGGCCCAGAACTGAGGATCTGGGAGGCTAAGGAGCATGGGGAGCAGAGCTGGTGCAGCTCTCTGGGTGAGGCCACAGCTTTTTTGAGTCTTAACCCAGAATCTAGAACCGTGTGGCTGACATTCAAGAGTTTGGAAGGCAGGGCCCTTGCTTTGATGATCTCTGAAGACAGAGGATCCCTTTCCAGCCTTGAGAGATAATCTAGATGGTTCTGCAGGGGTTTTGGACTTAGCCAATTTAACCAAAAAACTTTTATTCCAAGGGTAAAAAGGGAAGCCACAGACTGGGAAAAAATATTTGGTAATGACTTATCAGATAAGGGACTTATATCCAGAATTTATAAAATACTTAAGCACCACAACAAGATAAAGGTAGATAATCCAGTAGAAAAGTGGGCACAGAATATGAACAGACACTTCACTGAAGAAGACATTCAGATGGCTAACAAGCATATGAAGAAATGTTAAAAATCCCTAGCTCAGAGAGATGCAAATTAAAACAACTATGAGAAATCATCTCACCCCAGTCAGAATAGCAAAATTTAACAGAACAGCAAGCAACAAATGCTGGTGAGGTTGTGGAGAAACTGGAACCCTTATTCACTGTTGGTGGGAGTATAAAACGGTGCAACCCCTGTGGAAGGCGATATGGCGCTTTCTCAGAAAGTTGCAAATAGAGATACCATTTCACCTAGCAATTCCACTACTGGGAATATACCCCAAAGAGACCATAACTGACATCCAAGCAAATATATGCACACCCATGTTGATTGCAGCTTTGTTCACAATAGCAAGGAGTTGGGAAAACCTAAGTGCCCATCAACAAACAAATGGATAAAGAAGCGGTGGTATAGTCACACAATGGAATACTATGCTGCATTGAAAAATAAGGAACTCAGGCAATATTATTCAAAATGGGTGACCCTGGAGGACATTAGGCTGAGTGAAGTATCTCAGTCACAAAAGGACAAACACTGCATGCTGCCACTGTTGTAAAACATGACTGACATCGGGGTTGGGGGGAGACTGAGAAAGATGGGTTCAATAATGTATACTGCATTGAAACAGATAAGGCAGAAAACTGTTTAAAAGGGGCTATATGATTAGGTATTATTGTCATGACAGGAGTCCAGAGCAAAGGCTGCATAGTGGAGTGGACCTGGGGGAGGGTTTGTAAAACAATGAAAGAATTTTTTTTTTATTTTTCCAAGAGGGTAGTGTAATAGGGGGGAGGCTTGGGAGGGGAGAAGAGTGTCACAATGAATGAATGGAAACCCAAAGTCTCTGTAAATTTTCATTGAAATTAAAAATTTTTTTAAAAATAAATTAGACTTGGAGTTGACCTGAGACTTTTGGGGTGATCTTACAGAATGAAAATGTATTACATTTTTGGAAGGACATGCCTTTTCAAGGGCCAAAAATGTAGATGGTCATGGAGTCAATCATATAACCTCAAAATAGGTATCACTCTGCTTGGGCCATGGTTCTCAGTAGCCTGGCAGTTGTGCAGTGATGTAATCATCCCTATTATGTGATTGACTGCAGGAGGATTAAGTTGGGATATAGCAGCTCTAAAGAGAAAGAGGAACAAGGAGTAGAATGTGACCTTTGGACCTAGGGTCCCTGTGCCAAGGGCCTCCTAGACCCAAGGGAAGATGGATGCCAAGACAAAATGAGGGATGATCCCCAAGAAACTCTGAGCCCACAGGTAGTGAAAGGAGACAGGAATCATCCCCTAGAGCTGACCTCCTGAAGTTGAACTTCTAGCTGTCTAACCTAAGAATAAATTTCTGTGTGTTAAAGCCATGTACTTGGGGTATCTCTTTTATAATAGTCTAATGTTGTTGTTGTTGTTGTTATGTGCCGTCGAGTCGTTTGCGACTCATAGCGACCCTATGCACAATAGCCCTA